GCGGCCCCGCCGATGGGACCCTCCCTGGGCTCTGGCTCAAGCCGCGGCCTCGGCTCAGCTTCGGCCCGGCAGATGGGACAAGTGGAGCGCGTGGAGAGCCACGCGTCTATGCAGTCCACGTGGAACACGTGCTTGCAGTTCGGCAAGATTCTCGCCGTGTCATGTTCCTCGAGATCGCTCAGACAAACCGCGCATTCCTTACCAGCACCGGTCGACGTGGCGACATCCGGGTCCTCCACGTGGCCGACGACGAACGTCGGGAGAGAAGCGATGACGGCGGGGTCCAGGCCGCGTTTGGGCGGCTGAGCGACGAAGCCTCGGAGGATGAACGCAGAGCGATTGCGGTTGCGGTTGCTATCGCGATTGCGGAAAACGCAGCGTGCGTAGAGGTGGAGAGCGAGGACGAGGAAAATGACAGCGGACAAGGAGGCGACTGCGGTGAGCATGAGCTTGCTGTTCAGATCGTACGATGACGACGAGTGGTGCGGCCACCACGAACTTCTTGGACCGTCGCCGTCGTGGTCGTCGGAGCCCATGGCGGAGTGATTTTCCGGCGAGATGGGAATAAAAAAGAAATAGTGAAAGAGTAAGTGATCTGGGTTTCTGTTGGATTGTAGAGAAGTTTGGGGAGAGAGTTTTATGTACTTGTGAAACGAATGACAATAATAATATTAATATTAACAGTAATATATAGATATAGATATATATGCTACGTAAATGCATGGTCTTTACTTTTCATTTTTCTATGTGTTTTATTAAATTTATTTCTTGAAAACTTTAGTTGGTGGCGTAGAATTTGGAACAAAGGACAAAGACGGATTAGACCCGCAATTATGGAAATTTCGCATATGTTGACTTAAAGCCGGTTTTGGTGCGACAAAATATTTCGAAATAATAATTTAATTTTCAAAGTATAAAATATCAACATCACATTTAAAAACAAATAAAGATTTATGAAATAAGAAATTTACAATATGATTAATCGGCAGTCAACAAAAAACCAAAAACTATATTGCATAAACTAAAAAAACACATCATGTAACAAATACCAAAAACTATATTGTATAAACTAAACGTTATCGAGAATTATATAATATATGAGTTTAGAAAATGAGGTTTACGAAGTTGAAACGTGAGATTCAGAGTGGAGAAGCGTGTGGGAACCGTCGTTTGACTTTGAACAAAGAGCGATCAGCCATCCATATGTCTTATTCTTCCAACACACCCAAAAACGTTTTTCCTGAATTTTATAATATTTATCAAAATTTTCAACATTTTCACACACTACGTACATATTTCTTAATATTTTGTTTGTTTTCTTAATCTATAATAATGTTATAAATATGATGACTTTGAGATGATATGGGGCGACTTGCATGTGCCGCGTGTACTATGTATGTGTATATATATTACAATAATATGTTAAGTTTTTTTTTTTTTAATAACCAGGATGGTTCTTCGGGCCTTCGGCCCGACTACATCCACCCTAAGCCCGTGACCAGCCTTTGTATATGGACTATTTTAGTCCAGAAATTACATCCCTTTCTAACAGTGGAATCGAACTCAGGACGTTGAGGAATATGTTAAGTTAGTGGCAATCGACGAAGAATATGATTAGTGAATACAAATTCCGTTACAACAGCTTCGCTAGTGGTTAGTAGTATATGTTATTTTTAATGTATATTTTAAAAAACGAATAAATTTATATAAATAGAAATTATGACTAGGAAACCATTACAAGTGGGCATATATACATCGTTCTTAGCCCCCGTGTACGTACTCTTTTAACGTGAAACTATATTTGAGATTCCTTCGATGGGTTTACAAACTTATCTTAGAATAATTTCATGACATTAAATAAGGGTTTATAACCCCGAGTCCAAATAATAACGTAACTCTAAAGGTGTGTTAGTGGAGCAAACCCCTAAATCACGACCATGTGGTCCATATATTCGGACATTTCTACATAGCACAAAGTCCAAATATATTTCAATTTCATCCCCGGGATTTACGGGGAAAATGCGAATCCACACGCATTTTAACTGAAAAAAATGCAAGGAAACCTTGCAACATGTTTTTTCTTTTTCAAAGTTGTATAAACGTTATTCGAGTCAAGAATCAAGACAAGCCAAATTCTCATTACGACCAGTAAAACCCTAAACCTAGAAATGGAAATTGAAAGACAGATCTAAGTAAGAAGAGCGCCATAGAAGAGGATGGTCCAAGTATCGGGCAAGCCAGGGAGGCACCAGTGGCTGCAGTCGTTGCCCGGGTGGTTACCGCTATAGGCCGAAGGGTGCGCATCTTTCCTTAGCTGAGACAAGCCCGTTATGTCGAGCCAATACACCGGTTTCTTCACTCGGCTCATCACTTTGTTCACCACCACCCACGACATTGGCATCCCGGCCGGATACTTTTGCCCCGAGTAGGGTTCCCTCTGCCCCGAACACGTCTTGGACGGCTCGTTCCAGTCCTTTCCCCTACCCCCAAGAATTAGTATCGGAAAATGATCAAGTGGTTCCATATATATAGTTTTAATCCACATATATACGAACGATTGGTGAGACGGTAAAACGCGAGAAGAAACGTACGGAACGTACTCGTAATGGGTGGGGGAGACGCCATTGAAGAAGACCTTGGTCTTGGAAGGGTCGACATTGGCATTGACCCACCTGGCCCACGTGGTTAAGCCTTTGTAGAAAGCCACCAACCTGTCCATGTCTTTGTACAGTCTCTTCCCCTCTTGCATGTAATCCCACCTGTACGTTCATCATCACACACACACACACATGCAGCTCAAGACACACACAAAGACTGTAGCGTATATGTACGTACGGACACTCGAGACAGAATAGATCGGGCAAGGGAGGGAGAGACGAACGGTTGGATGCGCTCGGTGTGGGTCCACCAGTGCCACGTGTTGAAGATCAAGACGTCCATGCCTCTCCACATGTCGCCTTGCTTGATGGAGTCCAGTTTCAGGACTCTCCCCACTTTCTCCGAGTCAAGATCCACCAGAAACTGTGTTCTGTATAACAACAGCGTCACCTTGTAATCCTTCCCACAAAAAAAAAACATTTTAAGGATTATTCTTATGTAATAATTATATTTCAAAAGCATAGCTTTATTGAAAACGCGGGTTTTGTCACATAATAATTTGTTATATTATCCGATATACAAAAAAATAGAATTATTATACGGTGTGTGTGCGTATCTCTCGTGCAAGATTCAGGTCACGGAGAATGTGCCGGTGGCGCGTGTCACAGGCGCGTGGGAAACAAAAGTGCTCTCTCTTTTCCAATTAATAATTCGTTTGGTAGGGAAACCCCAGCTCAGGCGGTTGGGAGGATGGGGTGGCGCCCATGAGATGGGGATTCGATCCCTCCTCGCATGACTTCCTCTCACCTCCTCGCCTGTCAGTCTCTGAACTGGTTTATCTCCCATGTATGTATTGCAAGTTCATGTACGTAGATTTGGAGTTTTCTCATGTCCGCGACGAAAGTGCGGTCTGAAAGATTGTAAGATAGGGTTCCCCAATGTTATCAAAAAAATAATAATAATAATTCGTTTGGTATCAGAAATTAAATCGCATATAATTAAAACTGTTTTCAAGTTAAAAAGTATCCATTATAAATTACTTAAATGAAATCATTTGAATTCGAATTAAATATAAAATAATGAAAAAAATAAATCAAAACAACTGTTTATTAAATTGTTATTTTTTATGAAAAATAATTTCAAATGAAATTAAAATTGAATAAAATATTTTTATAAATTTAAAAGAAATATAATATATAAATATATAAAACAAATAAATTTATTTATGATACGTGTTTTAAAAAGTAATGTTGTTGGGAGAGATTTCGGCCATGTGCTACCTTTGCAAATTCTTTTCTATCTCAATGAATTATGACCTTCGACGCTTTAGGAATATTTAGAAAAGCAAAAAAAAAAAAAAGAATACTATATAATTATAGCAAAGATCGGTGAAAATGATTTAAAAAAGAAAAGAAAAAAGGTATATAAAAAGATAAATTAATTAAAAAATGCATCAAATATTTCCGAGGATCATCATAAAAGCTAATAACATGACATGATTCCACAGAGATTCCCACCAATCACGTCCCTCTCTTAATTGCTCATTCTCTCCTATATTTTTTTTATTGAATTATCACTAAATCCTCTAAAAAAAACCCGAAATTATTTAATAAATATATTTTTTCTAAGTATAAATCAATGAAAATAATTAATAAATAAATAAAAAACACAAACCTGAAAGGTAAGAGAAGTGAGACCCTTTTGTCGGAGAAGAGAGTAGCTAGAGTTGGGAACCCAAGAGTAAATCAGACAAGCTAAAGACTGCCACATGTTCGAACTCAGAGAATCGCCGACGAACATTATCTTCTTCCCTCTCATCCTCCTCAAGAAATACAGCCCATTGAACCTGGGAAGAGAACAGGAGGAGGGCTGCCACCTGTACTTGAGGTATTGGCTGTCGGGACGGCCGTACTTCTTGCAGTTGAACTGTGGATCTACGAAGGGGCATTTGTAGGGATCGTACAGTGGGTACTTTGCGTCGTACACCCATCTCCCTCTGAACCAGTTGCATTTTCCTGCCAGCTTTCTTCCTCCGTTGAAGAAGCCGCCATTGTCGTCGCTGCTGCTTGTGTTCTTGCAAGAGCTGATCGCTTGCACTAACTGCACTGTTGCAGCTGTGGAGATTGAGAGGTAGAGGAAGAAGATGATCGTTTGTGATTTGAAAGAGAAACCCATTTTGGATTTGGGGGGGAAGAAGATGCTCTGACTTCAGTGTTATATAACACTCCACGAGCGAGAGAGAGAGAGAGAGAGAGAGAGAGAGAGAGAGATAGAGAGAGAGAGAGTTTCTCACATGGGAGTCTCTCTCTATGTGTGTAAAGCACCACCTAAAGTTACGCAAAGATTGAATTTCTATATTTTTCAATGTTGGATCGGAGTTTGTCGTCTTAGAACATCATTTTCTTTAAAATTTCCAAAAACAATTCCCTTTTTTCTTAGAAATTCAAAGTTTTTTCTTTGCAACTATCAATGGATTCTTAAAATCTCTACGTTTTCCCAGTGGAATCAATGAGCTCTGTTCGACATTTTCTTTCTTCGTCTTGCTACTACATTCAAAATATGTACCAAGATATTTCATATTTCAATTCAATCATTTCTTAATTTACATTTTTTCATAAAATTATATCTTTTTTATTTTTTATATTATATTATCTTGGACCACATTTGCATTCAATTTTACTTAATAAAAATATTCTTTTAAACTAACATTCTCTATCAAATTCAATGATAGGTAAATATTTTTAGATCTCAATCAAAATTTAAAGCATAAATTTATATACAAATTAATATGATCATCGTGAACTATTTGCAAAATCGTCAATGGAGACAGCTTCCCTGTCTTTATAGCCGCTAAAGTGTTTTAAGTATTTGAAACAATATTATAAAAAAAAAACTTGTGTAAAGTGGTTTCATATAAATAAATAAATAAATGTATGACTTGAGAAAATGAGGTGTAAACCATTTCTGCGTAACTAAATTCCATTCATATTTTCACTTGCAAATTGATATTTACAATTCACTTTAGAATTGTTTTATCTAACAAAACACCCGATATTTAAATATTGTAGACAAATTCTCCTATATTGAAACCAATGAATACAAATTAAAATAAAGAAATATGTGTGTGTGTGTATATGTATATATATATATATATATTCATGCATATGTATACAAGAAATGACTTCTATCCGTCACATTACACAGAGATATAAAACCAAGCCAATACAGAGAAGTTCTGTCCGTTCGTAAGCTATTTTCTCATTCATCAAGCAGCTTGAAAGTCCCCAAAGTCATCGTCCGGTGAATCTTCTGTCCTCAGTTCCTCGGCTTGATTCTCCTCTCCGGTTTCCTTGTGCGAATTCGTTTCTTCCGAGTTTTTTCTGAGGCTGAGATTCGGCGGAAGGCTTGAAGGCGACTTCCCCACCGTCGGCGTGGTGGCGGCAGGAGAGAGGGGTCCTGGAGGAGGCGGCGGAATGATAGACAAAAGTGCCTCTTTCCCCTTGCCCTTATCTTCCAACGCGATATTGCTCAGACCCTTCTCGAGTATTTTGGGTTTCATGTCCCGATTGCTCGTCTGTTCGATCATTCAGACACAATTAAAGAACCGGAGTTAAAGAGAATGTAAGTACGAAAGCTTGTCTGAAGGAGAAGGCATGGCGTTTTTTCCTTACGTTCTTGAGTTGGAGAACGATTGTCTCTCCCTCCTTTAAGCTGTAATCGACAGAAGACGTGCTCTGAAACTGTTGTTCCATCTCTTCCGCTGTTTTTTTCTTGTTCAGGTACCTTTAGTAGAGTTGAGAGACCAGACGTCATTCAGTATAGTTGCTGTAGCTTAGTGCATTTGGAAAGAGACAACAAAAGACAGTGAGGGTTTTGGAATCGGGACTTTACTTCATATGATCATGAAGAGCAGCTTGGAAGTCGTAAGCTTCAGTTCGTTCTCGAAACCCGAGTCCAATAAAAGCATGCCGGACACGACCACCTGCAATGATTCAAAGGAATATATTCAACAACCGAATGATTTCATCTTCTTAATAAAAAATGCAGCCCGAGACAAGATATCAAACAGTTTAGCATCTCTATAAATTACCTATCTTTTCTTCAATGCGAAGAACAAAATATCTGCCAGGAAAAAAGATCGATTTATTAGATACCTGCTACTCTATATCAGTGAATCAGTAGCTGCTGCTTCATGGGGAATGCCCAAGTTTCAATTTTTTTCCCCTTTACAGTCATGTTCATACCTGCTACTGTCAATTACAGGTTCAACGGGATGTGGTTCACCATCTCTCAGAAACGCCTGAGCATAAAGTTCACCCGAGGTTTTATCTACAAGTCTGATTATGCACTCTTCACCTTTGCTAACGACTTTTAATGCCCCTTCCCATGCCCATTTATTCACATCCCACTCATCTGCCCTGAAAAAACGACAGCCGGCATACAAATCATCAGCTCCATCTAAGGTATTCCCACCTTCAGATACCTAATAAACCCAGAATGTTTAAACCCCAATTTGAGTAGAAAACGAAAAGCTAATCAGAAAATCCCATATCAAGATTAGGAGGACCTCTTGAAATTCGTAAAAGATTTGAAATCAGAAATGCCTCGTATCATATGACTTGAACAATGAACATAAGCTTCCATGACAAATTTCCAAAGTTTCCAAGGGCTCAGTATGAATCCTAATGGCACTATCAAGACACTAAGAACTCTACAGTACTGGGATAGAGAATCCCTCGATATACAGTTAAATATCAGTTGAGAAAGAAGATATGTTTTCACAAATACAAGAAAGAACCTGTAGGAAGCAGCGCTTTTTCTCGGAGGTATCTGCAAAGAAAGCAGCAACAAAGCCGAGCACAAAGTTTTAGTACTCTACTTAATGTCTATCAGACAAAACATAAGAGAAACAATAAGAGAAACAATAATGTCTATCCGACTCCGAGCTCTAATATTATTCTTTTCTTCTCCGCTCAGGCGATTAAGTTCCGGCAACCAATATGGAGTCTTAACACAAGATTCAATGTCAAACATGTAATAACTGTTAAACTGTTAGCATGGGCAGCTAAGTACCAATTTCTCGATACAAAACCCAACCGCCGATATTGTCAAAGAAAATCGTGAGAGGCAAATGGCCAGGTTCATACAATGTGGAGTGGAGAGAAGAAATATATCAGCATAGTTTGGTACATTCCGACATCCGTCATTAAGGAAAAGTAGAACAAAGATCTAAAGAATCGTAGAAAATGAAAGTTTGTCTCTTGATCAGAAGACAGTCACACCACTCTTAATTCACTAAGGGACCAACCAACCACTGTTCAGCGTAGAAACAACTCAAGATCGTCAAAAGCCAAGCCAACACACTTCACCATTTGCCTTAAAGATCTAATAACACAAGGCTCCTTGAAACAAAGCTATCCGCTTGATCATGTAATGTACAGCTATCAATTGAATTGTGTAAAATCCTTCATCCAATCCACACCAATTTCATGAAACCAGGAAAGGAATTAGACAAACACCGATTAAGATGATTTTCATAGAGAATCTACATTGACAAACAGATTCTCATACCAGATCGAGTGAACTAAGCTAAACTTAGAACCAGATCCAAAACCCTCCCCTAAACCATCCAGAAAAAATTTCCAAACAAAAAGTTGGGATCTTTCGAGGGAAGGCACAAAATTCAGAAAAAACTCAACATACCCATCTCATTATTTCAACGAGAAGATCTAAACCATGCAAAAAGAGAGAGATTTACCAAATAAACGTAGCATTCGGACACTTGAAAGAGAACGATCTCTATAGCTTCTGTCTCCTCGTTATCATCGACGGTCCCAGGGTCAGTCGATGCTTTCTTGTCTTTCTCCATGGTCGACACAGATGAAGCTTGATCTCCCCAGAAACAGAGATCCTGCGGTGAATCCTTGACGGATCAAAATCCCAGTTTTTTTTTTCTTCCTTTTGCGGGTTTTTGATTTTGCAGTCTCGTGAAGACGAAGACGCTAAAAGGTTCGTGTGAGGCGCAATGTACCATAGCTTCGGTGGGAATATACAAAAGCACGTGAAGGCCGTCCGATCTACTTGATTACTTTGAATCTCAACCGTCCGTTTCACTGAATATCCATCACTTCCGCCGCTGCGCAGCATCAAAGTCGACGCTATGAAGTCGAGGGAATAAACCGAAGAATCTTTCTATTGGGCCTTGTGAGCCTTTATAATGGGCCCAAGCCCATTTCATGGTAGAAAACAAAAATAGAAAGGTAAACCAGACCCCCTTCAGAACAGACAAAACAGAAACCAATACTTCTCCAAAAAAAGAGAACAGCGGTTGGATTCATGAGATAAAAATTCAAGTGAAAACACATAAAACAAAGGGAGGAAAGGAAAGATCATGAAGCAGTAGTTACACAAGTAAGCCCTCATCCAAGAAAGTTATCATACAATGTAATAAGATCAAACTGAAAAACATCAGACGACCAGAGAGAGAGAGAGTACAATGACACTGATAATACAGGTCCCTCCAGAATCAATGGAACCCTAACTTTCACTATTATTCACTCACATTCTTCCTTCCATCATCATGTCCTTCCACAGGTGGGTGGACGCGTTCGTCACTGCACGAAGAACAGAGAGATAGAGATAAGCGCAGAGTCTCGTATCGGTATCGATTGTCAACTAAAGTTTTTGAGTTTTTGAATCTTTGATTCTATTAGATTCCTTTGATTTTCCAACCGGGGATCTCTCTAGATTACCTCTGCATCATCATCTCCACCTGCACCAACTTTCGCAGAGCCGTTCATCTTCAGGGCATCTTCTGCGGCATAGACAAATTAATCGTTACATATGATATTGAATCTACAGCAAAAAATGTCAAAGAAAATGCAGACAGGCAGACAGACGGGATTGGTAACAACTAACAAAACATCATTCTGATTGTCCTTGACAGAACTATCAACATAGGATCAAGGATGGAGATCTTAAACAGTATAGCTCTTATTGAGCAAAATCCACCAAAGATAAGAAACAAGTTTATTCTCTCAATCCATGGGATCTGCTACAAACTACTGGAATTACTGCTTACCGAAAAGTGTTAGCCTTTAGCAAGAGATGTTATCATGCATTGTTAGCTGTGGAGCTATTGGATATATATATATATATATATATATATATATATATATATCATTTCACACACTTTGGATATAAGTAACACCAGTATCTTGAGAGCAAGATACCAACATAACATAAACAAGCAGAAGAAGTGACAATGATGACCATATTCACAACATGACCGTGTATATAAAAGATGAAAAGATGGCAAACAACAACAGAGGCAGGACGATAACCGAAGACATTTAAGTAACAGCATCAAACAGTCACAGGTTAACAGCTTGCTAATGTCCTGAATGATTATCACCTCCATCTTCGGCAATGTCAGATGTCCATAACGTCAGATTGTCTCTAAGGAGCTGCATAATCAAGGTGCTGTCTTTGTAGGATTCCTCGTTCAGAGTGTCCAGCTCCGAGATAGCTTCATCGAATGCCTGCTTAGCAAGGTGGCAGGCCCTGAAAGAAAAGAAAACAACAACAACTGGAATGTTAAATAACATCCAAAAAAGAAGATTCATTTCAGTAGAATGGCCAACATTTTCTGGACCTTTCAGGTGAGTTCATGATCTCGTAGTAGAAGACGGAGAAATTCAAGGCCAAACCCAATCTAATAGGATGAGTAGGTGACAGTTCAGTCTCTGCGGAGCTGGTAGCAGTCTGCAAAGAACAAGAAAATCACAAAAGTGAGACAGCAGCAATGGGAAGACGCAGAGAGAGAGAGAGAGAGAGAGAGAGATGCTGAAAGGAATAATGGATTGGAGACAATAGAACACCTCATATGCTTTCATGGACTGGTCAGAAGCTTCTTTCTTCTCGTTGCCGGACTTGAATTCCGCAAGATAGCGGTAATAGTCTCCTTTCCTGCAAACCCAAAACCTTCAGAGACACTGCCATCTTAAACAAATGGAAAACATCATGAAAAAGCATACGAGAAAGCCATTTACATCTTGTGGAAGAAGACGGTTGATTCACCAGGTGAGGCAGAGGGAATCAGATGATCATCCAACACTGACATGATATCACCGCATATGTTCGAAAGCTCTGATTCAACCTTCTGCATATAATCTTTGATCCTCTTGGCATTAATCTCATTCCCCTTGGCCGATTCCTTCTGCTCGATCGAGGAGAGAATCCTCCACGACGCCCTACGGGCACCGATCACGTTCTTGTACCCCACAGACAGCAAGTTCCTCTCTTCTACCGTCAGATCAACGTTCAGTTTCGCGACATTTTTCATGGCATCCACCATTTCTGGCAAAGAATCACAAACAAGTGTTCGCATTTCAGACACCCAAATGGAAAAAATCGAGTCTTCAGAGATCATTACCTCGCCGATAATGTCGGAAAAGGGAAATCCCTCCCTTACAATCAAAAGATAGCAAATATCAAACTAAGTGATCAAAACCCATGAATCAGACCCAAAGCCCATAAAAATCAGACACGAAATGGATCTGAAAATCTGTAAGAGTAACTGATCATGAGAGTTCAGAGATTCCTAGAGAGAAAATCTCCGTACCTTCATAACGCTCGGCCTGCTCTGCGAGTTTAGCGACATAGACGAAATTCTCACGTTCTTTCGCAGAATCCATGACAAATATCTACAACCAAAAAAGAAAATTGAATGTTCTTCGCCGGATTTGAGACGGTCTTTCTCGATACGAGAGTCTTGCCTTCGCTGGTTTTCCACTTGGTTGAGAGAACAGATGGAAGACAGATCTCCGGGTAGCTAGGGGCACAAATGTAATTAACGCAGGTTTCTCGTGCAATTATTGAAGGGAATACGAATAAAACAATTCTCTGTTATAACCAAAACACCAAAAAAAAAATCCTAGTACTTGTTTCTGTCATAATTTTCTCAAAATTTAATATTGTAAACTTTATACTGTATCGAAACAAAATATAATATTTAAATTTATTAATATCTATTTTATTTTTCTAAGTTCAAAATTAATTTGATTCAATTTATTGCTTTTATCGAAATACTTCTCTATTTATCATCTGTTTAAAATTTATTATGATCCCAGAAAATTACTAATATTTTTAAATTGTAATGGTCTCAAATTATAACTTACCATTTTTTGTTACATCCGATTTGATTGAACAAAATAAAAAAAAATCCAACGAAAATTGAATTCTATGTAAAAAAAAATATAAAACTGATTTAGCTCTTAGAAACGTGATATATATGATGAGAAACATAGGATAAAAATTAATAAACTTGACCCAAACTTAATTTAATTTTAAAATTTTAAATATATAAATTCAAATTTAATTCAAAAGTAGATTTAAATTCAACTAGAGTGTTTAGTAATATATTTAAAATATATTATGATGAAAAAAATACTGATTTTTTTTTTCAAAACTTTTGAGTAGTAGAAACTTTAAAATATTAGATTTTTATAGTAGATAAAACAATATTGAGTTTTTTTAATTCAGACATGATTGAATGTTTGGTAATCATAAGTGAGGTGCTTTATGACCACGGACCCCACATATCCCAACCCAATAAAATAAAGCCACGTCAACCACGTTACCCACCGTCTACTTTTAATTTCCGACATTTTATCCATTTATTTTCCGGAGCCACAATTATCACTTCGTTTATTTATTTTCCAAAAAGAAATATTTTTTGGCATATTCCAAAAAAAAATTAAAAGCCAAATATTCTTCATCGATGAACAAAGAGACTCAACCGCTC